TTTTTTTTTTTTTTTTTTTTTTTTAGCAGTCACGAAGTAATTACTTATTAAATAAATACCTACTCAAGTATGCCATTTCGGACGCAGCCACAGTCTTAACATAGTGGCTATGTTAATGCAACTGGCTCATGGTCTTAAAATTTAATTGGCTTAAATTTGATTTGATGCAAAAGTGCATTAGTAAAAGAGATTCGGTGAGTCCTTCTTGCAGGTTGCATCAATATAACAAGCAACAGTTTTTATAAATCAGTCTTTGAATTATGCGTTCAGTTGATTTGTTCAGAATGATTCAGGAACGAAATGTGACTCTTTATGAGTAATTTATTGAAACGTTCACTCAACTGATTAGTTCATAAACAGAAATAACATTGCTTTTGATGTGAGATGCTTGGTGGTTCTTTCTGTTGTGGCTTCCTTTCAAACTATTTTCATTGGTGGAGCCATAATGGACAAAGTAACTGGCAATATTGCTTCTAACATATAAGTTACTATTATAAGTAACTTAATATTAACACTCACAAACATGGTGTTTGCCTAAATATGTTAGTATGGCTCTGGTTATCTGTGGCTGCTTAATTGCCGCTCTTTTTCTGCAGTGTTCAATCATTACACTAAAGGCTGAAATACACTATGTCTTTTTCTGCAGTGTTCAATCATTACACTAAAGTTTGAAATACACTATGCAACTTTTGTACAGATTTTTGCCCAATTTTCAGTCCAAACGCACCAGTTGCCAAAATTTACAGTCAGTGTGCAGATTTTGGTTCGACAGCTTTGGTTTGGGTTGACAGAAAATTGTGTAGTGTATAAAAGGCACAGACTCGGATTGTTTAGCCTCAAACTATTTAATCCGGTCAAATTACATTTGTTATGCATCTCTTACATGTTTCTGTTTGAGTTTGTTGTGTTTGAAAGTTGTTTATTGTACAATGTCCAGTTTTCCTCTGTAACCATATACAAAGTCGGAAAGTGTATGATGCCTAGTGTTTTAAAATCTGTTCAGATTACAAAGGTGTGTAGAGTTTTCCAACCTGGATAGCTTCAACACACAAAAATGAAGCCTAAAAATAGCATTCCACATTTTGTATAAATAAACATGAGGAAGTCTCTTTCAAAGAGCTTCCTCTGACAGCCTTAAGATGCAACTGAAACTGTGTGCAACTGCAGGCAGTAATTCGCTCTGAGCACATCATCCATGCACAGACTTTGTAGTCATGGCGTAAGTCATTCTTTTTATTTCTTATCGGCTTTTTCACGTGACAGCTTCCCTGCATCACACGTGCTCACATCCTCCCACGCTGTGTGGTTAAAATAACTAGACCTCACCGGTTCTTCAGTGCACGAAGATGCTCTACAAAAGAGGTTAAAGGCAAATGAGGTATGGAGGACATTTGTTTTAACCATTTGAAGTCCCTTGCACTTTTAGATTGTCACGACTGCAGGCCATGATGTTAATTCTCTATTGTAGCTTGGACAATGAGTAACGCCTCGCTTATATTGGTCCAATGAATGAAAGCATGAAAGAAAGGATCATCTGTGATTGGCTCTGGATGAACAGATAACATTGTACATTGTTTGTCACGTAGTAACTGCATGAGAACACGTAGTGCTCTTGATTGTCATGGCTTAAGCTTTAAGTTGTTTTTCTTTCAGTCTACAAAATAGGTGCTATCTCTGTACTACATAATATTGCTCGAGCTTGTATCTGACTTGACCAAAATTACGCAGCTACCTCAAACCAACATCACTTCTTCATTTGCACCATCATGAGTTAGAACAGCAGGTCTCTGCAAAACACAAAAGAGGATGCAGTTTCTGAAATATGAAATGGTGAGAATTTTTCATAATACATAAGATCAATAATGGTCTATATATCTGCAAATATATTATTTGTTGAATTTGGTAAATAGCTTGAATCAGCTTTTGTTTTCTGACATAATCATATACAATACCTGTTTTGGCGGTTTTATGATGCAAATACAGTAATGCATGTGAAATTTATTCTCTCATTGTATCACACCACAGAAAGCGTAAATGTTGATACGCTTGATTCTGATTGGTCAGTCTATTGTTAAATATAGTTAGTATATTTAAAATAACTGCTAAAGTGAATAACAGAGTTCGGCTTGGCAAGCAGTTTCATACTTCTGCTAGTTTCTTGTTTTTCATATCTGATTTCTTCTGTTTAACAAAGTAATTTCAGTTCAAATCAACATTTCATGTACTTTTAACAAAGCACCCATGCAGTAAGTGAAATTTTATTTCCTGACTCAGGGTCCATTAACGAGAAACACACAATGCAAACCAAAACAATTACACATAAAAAAAAAACAGTTATACCAATACTTCCTCATAGAGGACTGGTATCGCATTTCAGTAAGCCTAGGATTTGACAACAATATTATGTGAATCATCCAAAAGTGAGATAATATACAGCTGGTAATTATCACAAAACAAACCACAACAATGTATCCATGTTACAAAATGTATCACTATCTTCTCCACTGACTTATCTTGCTGTTCTCTTCTCAATAGATATTATCAAAGTGTAACGCTTTGACCACATGTGCGGGGATGCTGCTCTCTTTGTTTCCTGGTAATGATTATGCAATTCTGTTCAAATTTTAAGCACAGATTATAATCATTTGTTGGAAAATCACTGAATTAAATCTTCATACTATAATGCAACAATGACAATAAAGTGACTTCAAATGCAACTGAATATTTATCGGCTGTCCTGTCTTTTTCAGTGTTTATAGCTGGACATGCATTATTTAATGGCACCTCAGTTCAGACTGTTCATCGAGGAATGTCAGTCAATATCAGCTGTAACTACAAACCAGCAACTGACAGTGATGACATAGTGGAACTGATAACTAATGGTGCATTGTGCTGCTCAGCAATGAACAGTAACAAATCATGGATATATCGGCCATGTAGAAATCACTTTAGATTTATTTGGATTCCAGAAACTGTGCAAATGGCATTTGAGATATCAAATCTGCAGATAAATGATTCTGGCACTTACAAATGTGTTGTGACAAGATCTATACCCCCTCCTTCTGTGCTTTTGAGAGAAGAAAGAACATTTGTTCAAGTGATTGGTAAGATTATTATGAAACAGAAATCACAATGACAAGTTATTTGAGTGCATATATGGTATAACAGTGTGTCATGTACAGTATTTGCTCTTGATAAATAAGCATTTTATTATAACTGTCTTGTATTTCATATAGCACGCCCCGTTGTGTCTGTGTCACATATAAGTGCATTTGGTGGATTTCACATGATCCTGTGCAGCTCTGAGGGGTTTTACCCTTCTGCTCTAGAGCAGCTGTGGATGAGAAATGGAGAATTTCAGAACGCCTCTCTCACACACAGCATTAACAAAACCAACCCAGATGGATCATTCACCCTCCATTCATACCTGAATATATCTGACTGTGTAAACTACTCGTGTTGGGTAAACCACTCATCCCTGAGCCAACCAACAATACTCCACATGTCTCCTGATTGTTACGGGAACAGAGGTATTACGTGTTTTTAATTAAAGTACATAATAGCATTAAATACCATAGTGTGTCTCATTGGATGGTTCTGTTAAACAATCAATTTTGTTATGTAATCTGCTCAATAACCTTCTTCTATAGATACAAATGTATGGATAGCTCTGGTGACCTCTTCGCTGCTGATTCTCACCATACTGATTATCACGGCTGTGTGTGAGCATTCCAGTGAGTTTAACATTTGATCTCCAACACACAGTGTCTTTTTTTTTCTTATCAATTTAAATCTCAGTAACCAATGGCAGAATAATGTTGTTAATGAAATCTAAAACAAATGCTATAATAATCAGAAATATTCTGATCAAGTCATTATTCTCATGTTCATCCAGGAAGAGCACATCACAGGTCTCATGAAAGAGTGAATGTCACACCTGAGCCTGATCTCCAATCTCACCTGCAGTATGACATATATTCATTGTTGGGTGACCATCATCCAGTTCCATGCAGCCCTGTCAGAGTTCGCTCATCTCCACAGTGAACACCAAATGTTTTACATTGATAGATTTTACATTGATAGATATCCAGATCCATTTCTATCTTACTCAATAACCTGATACCAAATTTGTGTATGTAATATATCATTTCTATATGATTATTTAACCTTCCATTAACATCTTGTTGACTGTATATACAGTATGTTGACAGAGTATATGACACAAAATATAAGACCTGTGTTCATTGCCAGCTTCAGCACGTAAAAACCAATTAAATGGCTTGCAGGTTATAGTTTTCTTTCCTGTGTTGGCTTATTACCTATTTAAAAAATGTAGTCCTTGAAAGTTTTCTCATGACCTACATCAAGCATGTAGACACGGTGTGGTTAAAATAACCTGACCATTTCATCGCTTTCTCAGTTCTGCTGTAGGCTTCAGTCAGAGCATGAAGATGTTGTTCTAAAAAAATGAGTCTTGTTGGAGACAAATACAAGCAAATAAGGTCTACGGGACATTTGGTTTCACCATTTGAATTCCTATGCACTTTTTAGACATTGTCACACAGCTGCGAGTCATAATGTTTATTTTTCAGCTTGGAATAAAACTGAACCCTGCTTGCTTTCAGAGCAATGCAACACTGTTATACTAGACTTGTCTAATCAATGAAGGCCTAAAAGAAGAGAGCTGACTGGCTCCTCACTGGATGAATACCGATCAACAAAACAAAACAGTTTTTAAGTATTTTAGTAAGTACCCTAAAAGTGATAGATTAAAAACAAACCAAAACAAAAACTTTCATTAGTTCCTCTTTAACCTACAAACCCAGTACTATTTCAGTCTGCCTTAGTTGGATTGGTTGAGCTTGTTGATTTGACCAAAATTAGCTACACCACCACAGCAGACCAACATCACTTTTTCATTGCACCATCACGAGAACATCCAGTCTCTGCATAGGCTAACACAAAAGAGGATGCAATTTCTAAAACCTGATATGGTGAGAATGGGAATTTTATTATACATAAAACAAGATCAGTATTAATAGGCTATGTATACATGGAAAAATAGTATAATACTCCAGATGTTATGTTATAATGTTTTGTGTTGCTGGTGAATTTGGTAAATAACTTTGGGAGCCATAGTCACAGTCATCGGTCAAATCTGTCTTGCAAGATATTATCAAAGTTTGTTGAAAAACTGCTGATTTCACGGCTCTCTGGTATGTCTGATTCTGAATCGTCGATCGTCTATTCTATGGTCAAATGTTTTGAAAATAGACGCTTTTCACAAACCGTGATAACGCGTATCCTATACGAAAAAATGTATATCGTACGTTTTAAATAATGTACATTTACGACACTAGCTACACTTTCTGTTAGCCTATATTACACTGAAGTTAAATTACAAAAAGGTTAACGCTGCTACGATGAGGTTTCTAATATCTAGTGCTGCTGAACTGATCTTTTTCTCTTCTGGCTGTTTTTGTTCGTATAAAATCGTCAGTCGTATAAAAACGGAATAGTGGATCATGTCATGTAATACAAATATTTCTCTTTTTGTTTTCTCCAGATGTCATCAAAGTGTAACTCTGTGACCACATGTGTGTGGATGCTTCACTCTTTCTTTTTTGGTAATGATTCTATTTAATCTGTCAAATTAATTTCAAATATTGAACCCCAGGTTAAAATTCAATTTTATTTCATTAAAATGTTTATTTATTACAGAATAGTTTATTTCGTAAATAATATTTAAAATTAAATAGTGAACTGGTTGGTAACAACTGAATACTACTTTTAACACATGGTATGATGCAACAATTCAGTTAAATAAAGTTTATTGTTATTATTATTACGGTATTATAACTCTCCTGTCTTTTTCAGTGTTTATAGCTGGACATGCATTATTTAACGGCACCTCAGTTCAGACTGTTCATCGAGGAATGTCAGTCAATATCAGCTGTAACTACAAACCAGCAACTGACAGTGATGACATAGTGGAACTGATAACTAATGGTGCATTGTGCTGCTCAGCAATGAACAGTAACAAATCATGGATATATCGGCCATGTAGAAATCACTTTAGATTTATTTGGATTCCAGAAACTGTGCAAATGGCATTTGAGATATCAAATCTGCAGATAAATGATTCTGGCACTTACAAATGTGTTGTGACAAGATCTATACCCCCTCCTCCTGTGCTTTTGAGAGAAGAAAGAACATTTGTTCAAGTGATTGGTAAGATTTTTATGACTAAAAACAGAAATCACAAAATGACATTTGAGTGTATAATGTATATTGTATAACAGTGTATCATGCATAGTATATGCTCTTGATAAATAAGCATTTTATTATAACTGTCTTGTATTTCATATAGCACGCCCCGTTGTGTCTGTGTCACATATAAGTGCATTGGGTGGATTTCACATGATCCTGTGCAGCTCTGAGGGGTTTTACCCTTCTGCTCTAGAGCAGCTGTGGATGAGAAATGGAGAATTTCAGAACGCCTCTCTCACACACAGCATTAACAAAACCAACCCAGATGGATCATTCACCCTCCATTCATACCTGAATATATCTGACTGTGTAAACTACTCGTGTTGGGTAAACCACTCATCCCTGAGCCAACCAACAATACTCCACATGTCTCCTGATTGTTACGGGAACAGAGACGGGTTTAATGGTATTACACATCATATAAATACATTACACATAATATAAATACAATACAGAATGACCCTTCATTATCTCTCACTTACAGGTTATAATATTCAGATAGCTTTGTTCATCTCTTCGCTGCTAACTTCAGTCCTCATGATCATCACAGCAATGTGTGAGTAGGCCTATGCCATTGAATTTAAAATACGATGCTATCTCCAACACAATGCCGTCCTCATGTTTTTATGAATTTGTCATTGATCAGAGCTACTCATTAATTTTTTGCATCGATAATCTGTTCTCAAGGTTGTCCGTACAGAGCTTGTCAGCAGCATGTGAGCGTCAGTGTCACACCTGACTCTGAACTGAAGACTGTGGTTCTGTATTCAATACTGAGTGATCATCATCCAGTTTCATACAGCAACTGTCACCTCCCCAAAACTGATTATTCCATCTTATTATTCCAGTGAGACATGTAGACCTGTAACTCAAAAAATAAAGTGTCTAAGTTTCAAACCCTGATTGGTGTTTTTTTTCTTTAACTGGCCTTTTTGTCTGATTTTGTGTGAAGTGGAGAAGGTTTTAGCAAGTTCTCTGTGAAATGTAGAATGCCTAAAAACCTTCACTTTCTTCAGTCCAGCTTCCAAGAAATGTAGCTAATGCGTTTGGACACAGAGCCATTTAAATAATAATCTACACATTTGTATTAAAAAAATGTATTTAAATATATTTGTTATTCATCAACAAACTTTCCTCTTGACACGTGTAATCATGAATCATGCTATGTTTTGCTAATTCAGAACATACTGTCAGGTGTTTTCAGTTTTAGTGTGTCCCATGCAATCCAGGTTGTGATATTATTTCATCGTTGTGATAGTGTATGAAGTGCTACCCACGTTTTTAACACATTTATTAGAGTGGGAGTAGCTACATCATGATAGGTATTTCCTGTTGACAAGATGTGCCAGCTCGGTTCAGCACATCTAGGCTATTATGACTGTAGTGCATGCCCTGATAAAAATTTCCTGCTGACAAGATTGAAATAATTAAAGGTAGAATTAGTCATTCTGACTGGATAGGTCAAATTTTCACAACACAGACACCCTATCATAAGTTCACCAGCTTATCAGTTGTGATCCTGGACCACAAAACCAGTCATAAGTAGCACAGGTATATTTGTAGCAATAGCCAGCTGCATTGTATGGGTCAAAATGATCGATTTTTCTTTTAAGCCAAAAATCAGGATATTAATTTAATTTAATATCCTAAATTAGGATATTAAGTAAAGATCATGTTCCATTAAGATATTTTGTAAATTTCCTACCGTAAAAATATCAAAACCAATTTTTTTTTATTAGTAATATGCATTGCTAAGAACTACAATTGAAAAACTTAATATTTAGAATTTTTCTAGTTGTGATCCTGGACCACAAAACCAGTCATAAGTAGCACAGGTATATTTGTAGCAATAGCCAGCTGCATTGTATGGGTCAAAATGATCGATTTTTCTTTTAAGCCAAAAATCAGGATATTAATTTAATTTAATATCCTAAATTAGGATATTAAGTAAAGATCATGTTCCATTAAGATATTTTGTAAATTTCCTACCATAAAAATATCAAAACCAATTTTTTTTATTAGTAATATGCATTGCTAAGAACTACAATTGAAAAACTTAATATTTAGAATTTTTCATTTTTTTTGCACACTCAGATTGCAGATTTTCAAAATAGTTGTATCTTGGCCAAATATTGTCCTGTCCTAACAAACCATGCATCAATGGAAATTGACTGGTTTTCATCAAGCAGGCTTCTGGGTAATAGCTTTGCCTGCAAAACACCCCTTTTCAAGCTAGAGGGCGCTATTGTCCCATTTATAAAAATGCCACAGTCCATTGCACCCCAGCCCTTACTTTATCATTATTTTTCCAAAGAAAAAAAATTCTCCCTAAATGACCACGGCCCATTACCCTTTACTTCACGTTTACTGAATTCTATGGAAGCCCGTTTCCGCCACTGAATAAAAGAATATAAGTCTGTAAGTCATAATAATGAGAAACTTTCTCGAAATAATGACTTATTTTCTCATAATAATGACTTATTTTCTCATAATAATGAGAAACTTTCTCGTAATAATGACTTAGCCTAATACAAAAAAAAAATAAAATAAAAAGAGACTTACTTGACGCATGCGCAACGCAAGAGTGACAGCACGCTAGCGCCATCTGTTGGTCAAAGCCATGCAGGAACACCGCTAACATTGCATGTGATGCATGAAAGGGACAGCTAATAAAACTAATACATCATCGAAATACACATCTATAAATTAAGTTTATATGTGTAATGGCTTTCATTTCTTCATAAAATGCCTGGATTTCTTAACTGAAATATCGGTCTGGAATGCTTGAATCCATAACTATCTGGCAGAGTAACTAGTACACAAAAGACTACATACAGATCATTGATCTGAAATCGTTATTTAATGACAGACTATAGCATTATACACTTTAGATTACAGAACAAAGCAATGTTAGCGGTGTTCCTGCATGGCTTTGACCAACAGATGGCGCTAGCGTGCTGTCACTCTTGCGTTGCGCATGCGTCAAGTAAGTATTTTTTTTGGATTAGGCTAAATCATTATTACGAGAAACTAAGTCATTATTACGAGAAAGTTTCTCATTATTATGAGAAAATAAGTCAGTATTATGAGAAAGTTTCTCATTATTACGAGAAAATAAGTCATTATTACGAGAAAGTTTCTCATTATTATGAGAAAATAAGTCATTATTACGAGAAAGTTTCTCATTATAACGAGATACTAAGTCATAATTTTGAGAAAGTTTCTCATTATTATGACTTACAGAATTATATTTTTTATTCAGTAGCGGAAACATAGAATTCGGAGCGGTATGCTTATTTTGATTAATTGTTGCTTTATTTTGGTCAAATTTACGGAGTAAAACACGTCCGTCCTTTGTTTATTTATATGCGTGCTCTTCTACACATAGACGCAATAAATTATTTTTATTTTACTTTTTTCAGTTTCCTTTTTATGCATGTGTTATGTATATTACGAGAAAGTTTCTCATTATTATGAGAAAATAAGTCATTATTACGAGAAAGTTTCTCATTATTATGAGAAAATAAGTCATTATTACGAGAAAGTTTCTCATTATTATGAGAAAATAAGTCATTATTACGAGAAAGTTTCTCATTATAACGAGATACTAAGTCATAATTTTGAGAAAGTTTCTCATTATTATGACTTACAGAATTATATTTTTTATTCAGTGGCGGAAACATAGAATTCGGAGCGGTATGCTTATTTTGATTAATTGTTGCTTTATTTTGGTCAAATTTACGGAGTAAAACACGTCCGTCCTTTGTTTATTTATATGCGTGCTCTTCTACACATAGACGCAATAAATTCTTTTTATTTTACTTTTTTCAGTTTCCTTTTTATGCATGTGTTATGTATATGCTTCTACCAACTACAATGAATCTTTCGCTTCACGATTCAAAAGAATCGACTCGTGAATCATTTCCTTTGAGCATGCGCACAAGACAAAGTCACGTCACCCTTATTCGCGTGGAGCAGATCTGGAAGTGTGTTGTGCGCGCGGCAGCAGGAGTTGTCCACATGTGGATGAAAGGAAAACACGGTCAGTATGTCCGTTTGTAGTGATGTAGCGAGCTCGCGTATAACTGATATGTTTATTAGCTCCAAATATTAAATTAAGAATTGTTTGAAACTAATGGTTGTAAAGGAAACTGTCAGAAAAGCCAACAGAAAACGAATCGAGGCCACCTTAACTTCGGCTAGGCAGTTAGCTAATTTCGTTTTGTGATAATTATGTTTATATTTTTTAAAGCGAAATACCTGGAAATTTAAGTATTGAGTATAGTTTTAATATGTGACATTTAAACAAGGCCGTCTTGTTACTTATTTAAGTTTAGTTGGGCACCTGAATTTTTCCTGTGTGACTAACGTTACGTTAACTGACCAAATAAGCTTTTGCGCAAATAAAGAGCAATCATCAATACTTTACAAAATCTGACTGAACTGTTTTTTTCTGTCGTCTTTTATCCGCAAGTGCTCTAACGTAGATAATATTTTGGTAGGTTAAACTACAACGCAGAATTTTAAATTTTTAGGTAATTATTAAACGTAATTTACTTTAGAAAATTAAAAACCGTTAAGGTCCATAGACTACTAACGTTACTGCTCGTTTCTGTTATGGTCTTGTGTTTCAAACGGTCGTGATGTATTTAGCGCGCCATCCTGCTGTTCTGTCCCGCCGTCTGACCGCCCAGCTTTGTGTTGATCACTTGATGTAGTGCACACTAGATGAACTATCTATAGAGAGAAGATCTTAGGAGCTTATGTTTCTGTTGTTTTCGAATTTGATGGGTTGATGGTTTAGAATGAAACCTGTTCTGAACTTTAAAAAAAGAAGTATGAAGCAGGATCTTCTATATTTATTAATATGTTATTTTTTTTAGTAGTAGCAGTAGAAATAAAACATTTATGTGTTGATTATTCTTTTTTATTATTTAATGCCTTATTTAAGAAATTAATAAACAACTTGCAATTATGCTAAAATGTTTGGGGTCGGTACAATTTTTTACGGTTTTAAATTAGACTTCTGCTCATCAAGGCTGCATTTATTTGATCAAAAGTACAGTGGAAATAGTAATATTACAATTTAAAATAACTATTCTATTATAATCAATTTAAAATGTACCCCTGTGAAGGCACTTTCAGCAGTCTTCAGTGTCACATGATCCTTCACAAATCGTTCTAATATGCTGATTTAATGTTCAAACATTTCTTGGTATTATCAGTGTTATTTTGCTTAATGTTTTTGGAAGGTGTGGACAAATTTTCAGGATTCTTTGAACAACATTTATTTGAAATAGAAATCTTTTGCAACATAATTGTCTTTATTTGTATTTATTTTATTTTGATCAATGTAATGCATCCTTTAAAAAACATTTGTGCACCTAATTTATATAATTATTTAATTTACACAATTGTATTGTTTATGACCAGATTATTTAAATTGAAAATCTTGTTTTGTTTATGAATTTATATTCATAGGAAGGAATTAATATCACAGGGTGTCATTGGGGTATTTGTACTCATGAAAGTCACTGTATTCACAGAAGTTGGACCTGAATTTCAGCTGAACAGCTAACGATGAAGAAAGAAATAGCAGCGGTGGTATTTTTCCTGAAGCGGTTGATAAAGAAGAACGAGAAGTTGGATGCGGAAAAGGTGGACCTGTTTGTGGTGCGTTTAACGGTAGCATTGCAGGAGAAGTACAAGGGTCACTGGTATCCAGACAACCCCAGCAAGGGCCAAGCATTCAGGTACAGCACTCTGATAAGCAGTACTGTTCATTGACATCCTAATGACAAAGATCTCAAGTT